ATTTTTCAATCGTTCTTAATCTAAAGCCATACATCGCAGTTTCTTGACTGCAACGATTTGTGTTGGCATTTGTCATAGATATATTTACTAAGGTCATCTTTGCAATTAGGTTTTTGTTAGAATAAATATTCAAACAGTAGAATCATGAGATATAGGGCCAGGAATTGGAAATAATAATATTAGAGCCTATAGAAGAGAATTTCGTTTTCTCCAAAACGTTATCCCAAAGCATATTTCATTTACACACCTGAAGACTATCTATGACTTAACTATTATTATTATTATTATTTCCTTTGATTTCTGGCATGTACACATTTCGTTCCGGGACCCGTCCAAGGACCTAAGGTTACAAATGGCATCATGACACTTTCCACTGACAAAAATTTTTTTTTTTTTAAAAATACATAGATAACGCCCTTCGTAAAATATGGGCTGTACTTGTCAGAACAATTTTTTGTATCTCTTTGAGGCATGGACTTCCAGGAATACCTTCAATTAGTCTACTGCAACCAGTCCTAGGGATCCAACTACAACAGGGATTGTTGATGTTCCCATGTGCTACATTTTTTGAGATTTCTATTTCAAGGTCCTTGTATTTTGACAGCTTTTTGAATATCTTCAAAGATACATTGCAGTCTGCAGGGACTGCTATATCAATAAGAAGGCACTTTTTTGTTTGTGGTCTTTAATAACAATGTCTGGGCGGTTGGCTTTGATTGTTCTGTCAGTGTGTATTGTGTAGCCCAATAGAATTGTAACAGGTCCTATCTCCGTAACCGGGTCTGGGTGGTGTTCATACCAGTTTCTTTCAGTTTCCTTCCCGTAGAAGTTGCAAATTTTCCAGTGCAGATATTGGCCTACTCTGTCATGCCGGGTTTTATATTCAGTGAGTGCCACAAGATGATACAATTATTTCTGGATATTTATCACAGAATCTGCATTTTGGGCTAACACAATATTTTAGTATATGTGTTTGATAATTTCTAGTTAACAAGCATTGGTCCTGTGCAGCAAGGATAAAACCTTCAGTTTCAGCGTTTGGCATAGGCAGAGTATTGGCCATGAAGCGGTTTTTCTTGCCATTGTTTCTGTATCAGGTCGGTTGCATTTGTCTTTGCTTTCTTTTTTAAGTATTTTCCAGCTTCAGTCGGTGTATTGTGCTTTACTTGTATTTCTGCGCCCATTTGAAACTCATTATTATTATTATTATTATTATTATTATTATTATTATTATTATTATTATTATTATTATTTCCTTTGACTTCTGTTGCATGCATATTACCTTTCGGGTCCCAAACAGAGATCTAAGGTCAGAAATGGCTTCATGACATTTTCCAATGATCACTTTTTTCTAAAAAAGACAACAGCAAAAGAAGGATCACATGCATTTTGAATAAAGCTCTTCGTAATGTGTGATCTGTCGTTACGAGTACATTTTTGTCCTTCGTTAAGGCATTATTATTATTATTATTATTATTATTATTATTATTATTATTATTACTATTACTATTATCAAAGTGATACTGAGGTACAAATTTATGCAACCCGATACACTTATAATGGTACCAAGTGCGATAAGGGTATACAAAGCATATGTCTCCCATAATCAGGGAAGCACAGTTCTTCAGCCCCTATGGAAAGCGCCTAACTGATTATAAAACTGGCAGGCAGATTTGTAGTACTGAATGGGATACTTACTCTAGCCCGTCCTAATGCACCAAGACAAAACAATTAAATCATAAAACCCTTCAATCATTTAAAAGAAAAAGTGATGTCTGGTACAGGATCTGGACCTATATAATAATAATAATAATAATAATAATAATAATAATAACGATAATAATAATAATATAGATCAAAGCCAACCGACTAGATATTGTTATTAAAGACCACAAACAAAGCAAGTGCCTCCTTATTGATATGGCAGTCCCTGCAAATTGCAATGTATCTTTGAAGATATTCAAAAAGCTGTCAAAATACAAAGACCTTGAAATAGAAATCTCAAATATGTGGCACATGGGAACATCAACAATCCCTGTTGTAGTTGGAAAAGATTGCAGTAGACTAACTGAATGGATTCTTGGAAAAAATTGTTCTGACAAGTACAGCCCACAGCTTACGAAGGGCTTCATCTATGTAATTTAATTTTTTTTTTTTTTTGTCAGTGGAAAGTGTCATGATGCCATTTCTAACCTTAGGTCCCTGGGCGGGACCCATAACGAAATCTGTAAACGCCAGAAATCAAAGGAAATAATAATAATAATAATAATAATAATAATATCCTGTCATTATCAATATTATTTAACCGTAACTTTTGTTTCGAATATTGTAATATCGCAGACATTTAGGTTCTTAAATTTTAAACCTTGTCTAGAAATCCCTGAATGTCCTCGGAGGATTCAGAAAGAGCGAGGAAATGAAATAATAACTACTCACCTGGTAAAAGTGCTAAACGAATGATGACTTGCCCTTGAAATAAAAGCGACGAGTTAACAACCATTAGTTGCTTTATATGGCTTTAAAAATCAAGGCAGAAAAGAAGTCGACAGTCAGCACTCATCACTTGAAAGACGCTAGAAAACGTCTCAACCTTGTGAAGACGTTCGAATCGACAAGAATTTTACGGGCGAGTTGCAAAAATAAAAACCACTTTAAAAGAAAATAGATCAACATTCTCCGTAAAATCTTTTGTATCGGTCGAACGATTACTTGAATTCCGATATTTGATCGGACGAAAGAAAAATTGAACTCTTCTGACATAAACAACAATTTGGATGAAAAAGGAACACATCACAGAGCATGGTATAAATTATATCAACCTAACAGTGAATCATGGCGGTGGACACAGCCTTTTATAGAGTTGTTTTAAAGCCGCATGTCCTGGAAAAGTCAATGGCAATGAAGTGGAAATATCTGATAAATTCGCTAAAATATTTACGCATTCGTTTGAAACTTCTTTTACCCTTTGCTATTCAGTTTAGATTTGATAGGCCAATCACCTTTCAAAAAGACTGCAACTCGAAATATCGAAAAATATTATAGAATTGTTTAGGAAGACTCAAACTAGGCTAATGGAAAGGCGTTCTCAATGGCCTAATCTAAATCCAGTCGAATATTTCTGGCATGAATTGAAAATTTCTTTCCATAAACGGAAAATATTGAATTTGGAACTTAGAATGATTCATCACAGAAGAATGGTAAACAAAAAACAGTCGGGATATGTAAAAGCTTTAAAGAAGGTGAAAGAAACTGTCTGTTAGTTATGACAATTTCAAGATGTGGCCCAAAGAAATATTAGTTCATATTTATGTAAAGGTCATTATAGTAAATTATTGAAAATTACACCTTTGTGCAAATTAATTGAAGCAAAACTAATAATTCCATTGTTATTTAATTTTTTTGTATTTTTCCAATGAAACATTACCCAGTGCACAAGTTAGTACTTCGTATGTCTATTCCACGAAGTCGTTCCTTGCAGATTGACCACAGATTCTCGATTGGATTTAAATCAGGAGAGTAGTAGTGGTAAGGCTTGCCGTTGTGTTCGTGTTGCGTTACAATTTTCGTACGCTTCCTTGGAGTAACCGTCCATCGCAGACAATGTCAGTAGGACAACTAATCGACAGTCGAGACAATAGTGTTTGTGCCTTGATGAAAATCTGATACTATTACGGATGGCGCAATATTTTTTAAGGCCAAACAAATCTCATCATGTATTCCCAAAATAGATTCATATTACTGCACACCACTGCAAATGACCTAATCTGAGAAAAAAATAAAGAAATTGATTACATCCTGTCACTCCAGTGGGTCTAAAACTGACTGTATGATGAAAGAAATGAAACTAAAGCGGTTGTTTCAATTAATTTGCAAAAGGGTGTATAGAAGTAGAATAATAAGATTAACTCTCTACAAATTATTATTTATTCATGTTTCACATGGTTTTACTAACACTAATTAAATAGACAAAAGTCAACGATTCAAATTCAAACGGGTTTATCTGAAAATACGGATTATGGTTTGAATACATTTCTGAAAAAATACATATTGTTTAAAAATGTACGCACAAATCGTACACAAATCCAATCTTAATTGTAATAGATATCATTTGTTTATTTCATGAAGATGAGATAATTTGCCAAAAAGGAGAGATTTCATATGCATTTTTATGTCAGGTTCTATCTTAATGAAACACTTCCAGGAATGAGCGAAAATTTAGTTTTGAGTGACCACTGCATTTAGCAAGTTTAACATAACATGATTAATTCTTAAGAGTTTAAATTAGATCCAAATTTAACGCTACAAGGCTTCCAGAATTGCAGACTTCGATCAAAGAACATTGTAATTACTCGGTCGTCGTCGTAGGCATCCGTCCGTCTCGAGAGACGATGGAGTAGCCAGGGATATATGGAGAACTAGGGCTGCCCAGACGTCTAGTACCCCCTCTAGGCCTTGCTAGCAGAGTCCAAAGGAGAGGATAAACCAATACAGATTGGTACCAACGCGCCTGCAGGAGTTGCCGGAAGGTAGCACGACGTGCCGTCCATCCGCCTTAGGGGCTCCACTGTGGGTTTGAATTCAGAGTTGTCTTTCACCTAGACCAGTTGCCATCCAAGGCTATAGAACCCAGTTTGTCCTGCTATTTACGCATAGCTGGAGAGGAGGATTCGCACCTTTCCAAAGGGTATTAGTACGAAAGTGAATGTAATGGATTCGACTGGAATTTGAACTCGGCTCTCCGATTCCTCAGTCCAAGCCGCTATCAATTATTCGTGTAATTACTAGAGAATCGGTAACATATATCTCCATCTCTCTTTTTCTCTCTCTTACGCTTTGTTGAAGACATTGAACCCATAAAATAAAATGGCATATAATCACTTCGAATATTGCACCATTTTAATTATGAACGTTGTGCTCATTTCTTGAAAGAAATTATTATGACGGTTATTCTTAATTGGGAAAGTAATTGATTTGATAGTAATGACTAAATCTAATATAAGCTATGTACATATTTTATGGGAGAACAAGACTGATAGATACGAACAGATTTCAATAGATAGATAGATAGATAGATAGATAGATAGATAGATAGACATGAACTGAATGGGATAGATATATAAATAGATAGTTATGAACAGTATAAGATAATGAATGGACTGAGATAGATAGATAATAATACTTAGGACACAAACAACACATACAAGATTCGCCAGCAGCGTGTAGAAGAAGTAGTCAACTGATGGAAGTGAGTCAAGTGAATTCCACAATGAATCTTCAACTGAAGGCCAACATATAGTATTTACTACTGTATTTATGTGAATGGAGATATACCCATTATCGTCCGTAGGTATGCTACGATAGATAGATAGATAGATAGATAGATAGATAGATAGATAGATAGATAGATAGATAGATAATGAATGGACTGGAATAGATAGATTGATAGTTAATGAATAGACTGAAATAGATAATGAACGGAATGAGATAGATAGATAGATAGATAGATAGATAGATAGATAGATAGATAGATAGATAGATGGTGAATAGCTTCAGATAGATAGATAGATAGATAGATAGATAGATAGATAGATAGATAGATAGATAATGGACGAACTGAAATAAATAGACAGATAAGGTGCATTTGTTACAACTTCGATTATTTAGTTTAAAAAATTAAGATGAAATGTCGAACTGGCTCTTGTAGACTTGATTCTGTCGAATTTTGTGTTCTTTCTGTTAATTTAAAGACATAATCATTCGCGATAAACAAATATTGAGAAAATCAATCAGACGATGAAATTAAATGATCGAACATAAAGTCGGCGGTGACAGAAGTCAAGTAAAATTAGATCAATATTGAATCGAATGAAGTTGTATTTTGTACAGTTCTCCTAGAAATGGGAGAGCAATATCGAACTGCATGCTGAGCAATAAAACAAAAGATATGGACTCATTTTTGTGTATATTTGTCTTTCCCTTAACACCCCCATATATATATATATATATATATATATATATATATATATATATATATATATATCGAGCAGTCATTCTCACCACACTTCTTTATGGGTCAGAATCGTGGACGCCATACAGGACACACATCAATCAACTTGATGGTTTTCATAAACGCTGACTTCGTCCAATATGCGGTTATACATAGCAGGACAAAATCTCTAACCCTGATCTTTTCATCAAATGTGGCATCGGTGGTATTCTTTCTGATACAATCACAGTTCAAGATGGTCTGGTTATGTCATCAGAATGAGTGATGATAGGATGCCGAAAATTCTTATTCCATAAAGTTCTAGAAAGCTCCAGGAAGTTTAGAGGGTTCCAGAAAGTTCTAGAAGTCCCCGGAAAGACATTGTACCATTTTACTTATAAACGATTTTAGAAATTTCGTGTTGGGTGTGACTATCTTTAAAATAGTAAACTGAATTAAATCCTTTTTCAGGTGGTTGGACACATGGCACAGTAGATAAAGGCGTTCGTTAGATCCAGTGACAGAACCCAAGGAGCTGTGAGTTCAATACCTGGTTAAGGCAGTGGAGAACTTGGAGAAGTAAATTAACAGGAGATAACTGATAACTGACAGCCATTAGATATGGCACGTGGAACTAAAACAGTCTACCCCAGTGAGCGAAATAAAGAGTCCAGTTCGACATTCCAACCAACTGAAGAAGGCCGGAGCGTACAACGGCAGAAACGTTGTGATAAATATGGCAACAAAGATGAGGACAATAGTCCGAATAGTGTACATAATACCTCATCTCAGAAATATAGTCGGATTTAATTCAGTTTACTATTTAAATTCAGTTTACTTAAAATTCAGTTTAATTCAGTTTACTTTTTTAAAGATAATCAGACTCAACACGAAATTTATAAAATCGTTTATAAGTAAATTGTCACTATGTCTTTCTGGAGACGACTAGAACTTTCTGGAGCCCTCTAAAAGTTCATGGAGCTTTCTAGAACTTTATGGAAATAATGCTTCTGAAATATGTAGAACTGGGGTCAAAAAACAATGAAAATATAAATAATTTAACAGTACAAATACCGGCAATACATTTTCATGTTAAAAATATTATTATTAATACATTTTTAGTAAAAAAAAAAAAAAAATTACCAGCAATACATTTGCCAATGAAATTACGAATTCCCCCAAGAAAATTAAAGTTCCAGATTAAATGACCCATAAGGAGTTGATATGCCGCTAAACAACCAAACAATAAGTATTTGCTAAACCTAACTTAGCTATTATCATTAACGAAATCTATTGCACAAATATTCCAAATAGCATTAGGATATTGGCTTTAATCTGGCTTTAATCTAAGCGGATATATAAAACTGACTCAACCACAAGGCAGAATTTCAGAGATATGCCACTGTTTATATTTCCTTTGAATTGCACTGGATTTTATGTTTCACCTTTCGTCTGTATGTCTTTTTTTTCACACAATTTCAGTTATTTGCAATCTTATCTTACTGTAAATTATTCTAGTTGAATGACTTCCAGTCAGATTCTTGAAACTGTAGAGTCGGTAACGATATAAAGGCCTACGTTGCTACAAAATTACTTCCCTGTGACCATCGAGTATTAATACATGACATCTGCAACCGATGGTTTCGGAAAGGCAAAGCTGTTGGCAGGCATCAATTCTGACACGTATTTCCCGTCAGCGGTTGTTATATTCGATCGCTTATCTAAATGAAGAGTTTCTTTCGACTAAGTAACGGCCGGCGTGCAGGAAAAAAATTACGCTTTGTTTTCCTGTTCGCTAAGAGCAAGACACAATCATTATCGTAATCAACCTTGATGATTGGTTCATATAGCAGAGGCCTCGTTAAACGAGAGGAAATTTTAATCGAAATATTTTCATGTTCGATACAATCAGCTGCCTTTCAAATCAGTTAATTCAATCTGGTTTCACTAACATTGCTTATTATTATTATTATTGATCAGCAAAGAAAAAAAGTATGCTGAGATATAAATATTCTAAGCCCAATATACCCATCATAATAACCAATCTGATAAAGGTATAACAGACACATCCATCACAGCCAAAATGTGCGCGATATACTGATAAATATTGATACCAAAAAGCGCATAAATTTGCAGATGGGGTTCAGTCAGAAATACTTTCAGATCAGCTAATCTAGTTCGCTCAGGCGGTCACCGATGGAGGCTGTTTCCAAGAATCGAAATGTAACCCCGAAGCTGATTTGGCTGCTTCATCATTGAAATTCAAAAAGACGTCCCCGAGAGAAAAAAAATCCACTCAGTGACCCTGCTATCAAACTCCTACAATACTCTCACCCGAATGTTAAGCCTAAAGTCAAGCAAGTGAGAACTAAATCTTTGGGGCTGAATGGGATATTGGAGCCCAGCTTAATTCACCAAGACAAAATAATGTAAATATTATCACTTCTAATTAATTAAGATCAGTAACCATTATTATTATTATTATTATTATTATTATTATTATTATTATTATTATATGTTGCTTCATCAACCGCTCTCTGTTCTTCATATTTACGTTCTCACAGTTCTATTAAGCCTCACTTACAGTGTGCGATGGGTAAATCATCGACATTTTATATTTTTCATTTCGCGCATGCGCGTTGATTTTTATTTTGTCGACTGTTGATTATTATGTGTAGGGCGCAGTTGAGCGATAAAACTACTTGTAACACCAAAGATGAATTGGAGGTAAGTATTATGGCAGCATTCACCAACATGAAGAAAGAGATCGTCCAGAAGTGTTGCAGGAGATTCCGAAGTCGTCTGGAGGCCGGGGTTGAAGCCAATAGCACTAAATTTACTCTTTAGTATTTGAAGATATTTTTGTGTAATTTTGGTAAATATATATACATAGTAAAATGAGATGTCGATGTTATTTTCATTTTCGTGTTATTTAGACGACAATTTATCCATAGTACCGTGCAGAGCGGGGCTCTAGTCTGGATGTGAAAGCGGAGGGACTGAACATTTTTAATTAGTAAAATAATACACAGAGGAAGAGACGTCAACAAGAGGAAAATCTCTCGTTAACGGATTGTCTGAGTTGATTTGTTTAATGGCTTATCAACAACTTATGGGTCATTTAATGGCGAAATTTTATTTTCTTGTCAGCTTTGAAGTAATAAAAATATGTTATTCTGCTTTCACAATTGAATCCATGGTAGATGATACTCAGCCTTTGTTATATTTTGATATGCAGTTTGACTTTAAAAGACTGTAGGATATTATATGTCATGAATGAGTTCTCTCTTGTTCGTTGATGTAATTTTACTATAAATAGGTATTGTTGATATATATATATATATATATATATATATATATATATATATATGTGTGTGTGTGTGTGTGTGTGTGTGTGTGTGTGTGTGTGTGTGTGTGTTGAAGCTTGGATAAGCATGGAATAATAATAATACAACACAAAATGTACGTAAACAAAATGTATTGAAACAAGGAAAAGGTACACAATATTTACAGTTAGTTTTGGTATATTCTTGGGAAGACCTTTCCTGTAGAATGGGTTGACTTAATCGCAGTCGGGCAGAGTCTCTGGATTGGATCTCTTGTTACTTCCCCCCCTCGTCTTCCCGGTACCAACCATATTTATATGGTCGGTACTCCACTATGTAAATTAGGTGGATCGTACCACAACAATATGCATGTATGTATTTCTGTTATTTTTATTATACTGCATTTTTATACTTTCACAGTCTTTTGCTTTTATTTGAGTATTTCACAATTTGCACATAGTTTACCTGGGAACAACAGCATTAAAGATGTGGTTCACCGTTCCTCAAAATTTTCAATCTCCCGATCAGAGGCCTTGCTGTCAGATGTAGTTTATGGTCACACGCAGGACTATCGTTGACGAACTATACCTTAGACTGAGTGAGAGGTGGAAAAAGAAATATTTGCTATAATCAGTATTTCAAGTTTTACTTTTTTAATTTGTAGTCAAAACATTTCAGTTTTTTAATCAGCAGTCTCTTCATAGAAAAAAAGAGAGAGAGAGAGACAGACAGACAGAGAGAAAGAGAGAGGAGATCGTGTATATTCTTGAAGCATTTGTAATGGTCTTCAAATGGTATCTTAAAATAATCTTTGCTCTTTTGAAAGTTTTCGAATTTTCGTGACGTTTCCACCTACCTGAAAGTCTCATCATCGACATCTGATAGCTGCCAGTTCTGTGGTTTATTTCAAGAGAAAAGTTACAACCCTTAAAGGCCTTAAACTAATTTTTGGGTCGTACGGCCAGATATCAATTTATTTCCTTCCACTTTCTGAATTTTCCGAACAGATTTGGCGGCTTTGAGGTAACATTTTAAAATAATACTTCAAAGTTTCCAACATTCCATACTTATATCCGGCATCTAGAACAAAAGCCACAGCGCAACATTATTTATCATGATAGGATATATTATAAGAATGAGTCATCGATAGTCTTTTATATATATATATATATATATATATATATATATATATATATATATATATATATATATATGTATGAAATAACCTTTGGAGTAAAGGTCTGTAAAAAACGAAAATACATTTGATTGATCCAAATATATGATATATTCTTATGGCTTTTCTTCTAGAAGAAAGATTTGAAGCGAGTCTTCCATGTCTTGTTTCAAAGTTACCAACTCCCATCTAAATAAGGGAAGCTGTTCTTCATCGACTGCCATAAAAGGGCATGGTAGTTGGCGAAGGCGCCAACTATACGGATAAGCATCTTTTTCTTTGTTCTTCAAATATGACGTTCTTTGGGTGATGATCCCCGAAGAATTGACATGTGGCCAGTCCATTACAGTCTTTCGTCGCCTCATTTCAACACTTATGGCTCTGTTAGAGGCTAGAAACTTAATATTAATACCAAAGTCGCCGCAACGCACGATGAAAATGGTACGATTGATTTGAGATATCTGATAGGAATTTCTTCGGTTATATAGCGAAGAAAACGGCGACATACCTCATCAAACCAGGCGACAGCGCGTCGCGTGTATCCTACGACGGAAAAGAAAATTACTTACCAACATAAAAAAGAAAAAAAAGGGGGGAAAGTATTCCGCATGACATGCTGAAGACGGAATATTTAGATTAAAAACAAGTCCGTCACAAGAGTCTCTATAAAAGTATTTTGATATGCAAAATACTTGGCGTCTTCTCCCAGTTGTCGACGAATGAAAAAAATGCTCGGCCGATAAAAAGCAGTTGGTTTTCTCGAATCGGGAGGGAAAAATTTATGTATTTTGGCTACCGCGTTCGTCGGCGAGTGAGTTATTTTTCTGACTGGTTACGTGCATTGGGATTTGTGAGATAGTACCTGCGAATCGAGTTTTCGGCATTTCTTTCTACCCCCGATGTTCGAGTCTGAACTTACAGTGATTTATTCTTTGCGTTGTGGAAGTAATCTGTGATAAATATTTCTTTTGCTTTCAGAACGCTTACAGGCTAACAGCTGATTTTAAGTGGGGGTGCTTTTTTTTTAAGAAAAATCGTCATCAAAAAAGAAACAATCTTCTCCCTCACAATCTTTTGATATCTGAAAATAAACAATTCCCAGACCTTCATCCGTATTACGAAAAACCGAAGAGAATAAATTTATAGACTTTTGATAACCGAGTCTCCATCTACATCTTTGTTGCAATGTATATTTTATCTGTTTCTGCGTACACCGATACGGTCCATTATCTTGAAATCATGCTTTATATTGGGAGTAAACAAAATTCCCTGGAAAGGAAGAACGAGGAAACGGTAAACATTTAAAGAATTCCTAGTGTCTTCTGGTGAACGTAAAAATCGCTTATTGGTATATTTCTTAACGAAACTCTTTTCTATTCCTTTTCTTTTGACTCAAACTTTTTCAATTCAAGTGTTTTTAACCGATAGTCAATATCACATTCTTTTTTGTTATCTGTGGTGTTAACAAACAAACAGTTCGTTATAATTACAAATGCACCATTTGTGGAATAGCACTTATTTTTATTTGTCCGAGACAGTATTTTGTTTTCAATTAGGATAGCAAAAAAAGAAATTAAATAGCAGAAACTGAAGATGAGTGTGATAACAGAGATAGTACGGTTTATCTCATTATATGCACCATTAAAAATAGGCAGAGAATATACGAGAAAATCTCAGTTGAAGTATAATTGCTGTTCGATAATAAAAAATGATCAAAGGGAATAAGACTCTATAACAGATTTAAAACTTCAAATAACCTAGTTTTTAGTTTTGGGAGCAAAATTCTTTATATTAGCCATTATGCATTCGCAAGTAATAATACCGATTTGGATAATAATAAAATTCATCAGTAACTGAAGAATTCATGGCTAAAAGAAGAAACGGAGGCATTTATGATGGCTGCACATGATCAATTTACTAGAAAACATAATAAAAATGGTTTGAATCCAGTTTGTAGATAAAGTGAACAACATATTGAGACTATTGAGCATTTAATGTCTGGTTCTCATATCCTGACACCGAAAGGAATGCAAAGATCGATGAGAAGATTGAGTAATAGATTCATTGTAAAATATGTAGTCCTGGTGAAGCACATACTATGCAGCTAAGTAACCCCGAAGCAGTCATTCTCATTGACTAAAAGGTCTCGACAATGGAGACTCTTTTAAAATATGTCTATATTATAATGTGCTACATGCTGAAATATGATATGAACATCACCCTGAATCAGTTATAGAAGACCGTGAATTTAGTATTTATACAGATAGATATATAAATATAATAGACAGCGCATAGGGATTAAAGAATATAAGAAAATATGACTTCTTACATATATGCTAATGCCATTGGTTAAAATATATTTTATTAAATAACTAGTAGCCATACTCAGCTGCTCGATCAGAAGAAAGCGTTCAATTAGAATGGACCAAAACATGCAACAGAGTCTATCTTCTTCAATTACTTTAAAGTACTTTCATTTAAAAACATTTTGAATTAATGCAGTTACTGATATAATAGAAGTAGTCTGTATTTATTCAATCGACTTTAGCTGAGGACAGGAAGGGGTAAAACAGGAAACGTGAAGATCCACTTCAGGCCACAATTATTTTGGAGTTTTTGAAATTCAATTTTTCAGTGTGCTACCAGGGATGTAAAAGAGGATACATTTATAAAGCAATTGATGAAAATTGGTTGAAAGATCAACGAAAAATAAGGGAAAAAACCCCCCAGAAAAATCGCCATTTTTCGATATTTACGCGTTACTCAATTATCAAATTAAATGACTGTTAAACAATTAACTTATTATTGGCTACAATTGAGTGAAGTTTGTATTAGATTGCTTGAAAATTGAGGGAGTTTTTAGTTTAAAATTTGGGTTGAAATCGATTTGCGTTGCAATATATAGGGGTATGACAAAGTATATGAATATAAGAAACTTGAAATTGAAAATATTTGGCATTTAAAACTACTATTAGAACAGAGAAAAAAAGAGTACAGATGCGGTTTGCTTCTGCTTATGAGGAAATATTGTGAAGAATGCACATCTTGAATATTATCATCTACACCGTGGAGTATTATCAATTCAAAGAAAATATAAAAACTGTAGATATTACACATCAGCACCAGAACTTGTGCAAACAAAATGCATATATTTAGTATCTTGCCTTACAACACCATTATCGGCTCATGAGCCAGTTCTAAAAAGAAAGCCAGAATAGAAGAAGAAAAAGATCATGGTGATGATAATAATAATAACACCAACTGAATATAAAAGAATGAATAATAGAAAATGTTATGAAGGCATTTCTCATCTTAGATCACTGGTTGGGAAACAGAAGGAAATGTGTATTCAACAGAATCCCAAGGTAAAGAAATAATAACAGTATGAGAAGAAAACTTTTGCAGCTGGGGAATTTTCTGTGAGACTTCACAGGGCAATATGATAATGTAATTGAAGCAAACCAGAAGGTCAGACACGTTTACTGTCCGGAAGGAAGACAGTGTTGGGTCACAGATATATTAAAACCTTGTGCAAATTAAATGAAAAAGAAAAACGCTTTAGTTTCCTTTCTTTCACCTTACGGTCAGTTTTAGACCGACTGGAATGACAGGGTGTAATCAATTTCTATTTTTCCTCATATTAGGTCATTTGCAGTGGCATGCAATCATACGAATCTATTTTCGGGTGTATTATGAAAAATATTGCGTCATCAGTAATTACATCAGATTTTTATCATGCCCAGACAATATTGTCTCGACTGTCGATTAGTTGTCCTACAGTTATTGACTGCGATGGATGTTACTCCAAGGAAGCATGCGAAAATTGTAACGCTATAAAAACACACTAGCATGCCTTACCAGTGAGCAAATCAAAGTACTATAGACTAACCCGGGAACTCTCCTGATTTAAATCCAATCAAGAATCTGTGGTCAATATGCAAGGAACGACTTCTTGGAATGGACATACGAAGTACTAACATGTGCACTAGGTTATGTTTCATTGGAAAGATACGACAAAAAAGTAAATAATAACGGGATTATTTATTTTGTTTCAATTAATTTGCACAAGGGTATAATGCCGGGTGACATGATAATAACTGAGAAAGCAAAGGAGAAGGGAGAAAGGTATTAAGATTTGAATCGTTGTATAGCATACTTTAAGGGTGGGGACTGAAGAAAGTGAAATATTTTTTCTTTTGTTGTTGGTGACCTTGGAAGAGGCCAGGTCGAATTGGAGCTGTCATTCGAACTGACTTATTTCAGAAAACAACATTGTTTGGGACTATCAGAATTGCGAGATAGTTTTTGTCGGTGTAGACAGGTGAAGAAATGACCTATGGTTATTTGAACCAAACAAAAATGTGTATCAAATTACTAACAGCCCTAAACTATGTCAAATGGAAAGAATCATACATTTCGGCACTTGGGGTATATTTATCTCTGTGCAGTGAACAAAATTACATGTTCTTCTTTCTGATTGTATAGCGTCTCGTGTGTTTGCATCTTCTGGTGCAAAAACCTTGTTGTTTCTTGAAGTCTCTGGTTGAGACTTGAGAAAAACTCGTACTAAACTAAGCTAAGCCAAAAAAAATAAAATAAAATAAAATAAATAATGCCATATACCATGTGACTTGTATGTCATTATCAGGTTTGGTGTCATAATGCGTATACCGAACTTCGTTTCTTTATACTCCAGCGTCCATTTTTATGAAGTCTTTAATATTAGCGCCAAATATATTTAAGTGATTAATATATTTGAGCATTAATTGTTGCATTAGGTGGTAAGAATTCATCTTATTCCACCTCTGAATTTTTCAAACCTTCTTCTGTGTGAATGAAAGAACTTGCAGAAGAAGGTTTGCAAAATTCAGAGGTGGAATAAGATGAATTCTTACCACCTAATGCAACAATTAATGCTCAAATATATTGTCAGCAATTAGAGTGTTTGAACCAAGCTTTGAGGAAAAAATGACCTGCCCTTGTGAATCGAAAAGGGGTGATGTTTCATCAGGACAATGCGTGACCCCACACAGCAAGAATCACGTCACAAAAGATCGATGATTCCTCATCCACCTTATTCTCCAGATCTTGCTCCTTCAGACTACCATTTGTTTCGTAGCTTACAGAATCATTTGGAAGAAACAGCTTTTGTAACACAGGAAGAGGTTAAAACTGACATTTGTGAGTTCTTCGAATCAAAGCCAAAAGAATTTTACAGTAATGGAATTAGTAAGCTTGTTAATAGATGGAAGGAAGTCATAGATAATCAGGGAAAATACATTGTTGATTGAATCTGTAATTAAATGTAACATTTGGTCACTTGTTTTCTTTATTCAAAATTCAGACAGAACTTATGGGATGACCT